GGGCACTAGGTTCCATGTCCTCCAACAAAAGGCCGATGGGCAGAAGATCTCTCACTGTACTCTGCTGGCCCCTTTTGTGGCCAAAGAGGCAGGGTCAAGGGAACCAGCCCCTGCAGAGCAGAAGCTTCCAGGGTGGGCAGGAATGTAAGAGGAAAGCAAAAGCAACCAATAGACTTTTAAAAAGGCACCAAAAGATTCTGTAAGCCACTTTATCTGCAGACTCCGCTGAGGAACTGGCGGTCTGAGAGTGTGTGGCTGGGGAGTCGGGGGCCACATAAACATGGAACCTCCATACTCCCCACTACAATTCCTAATCAGGAAACATCTGCCCAAGAACTCAGAATTTAGAGCCCAAAGGGCCCAGACCAAACCCAGCGCCTCCTAACCATTTTACAGATTAAAAACATGAGGCCCAGGGAGAGAAAGTGATTAGCCTAAGGTCACAAGCAAGAAGAACTCAACTTTATGCCACCCAGCCTTCCTATTTCAGTGAATATTTAGAGCTGCAAGGTGTTTAGGGAGCATCTGCCCACTGTATCATTTTATGAAGGGGAAACAGAAGCCGCGGGTGGGGAGGGCAGGAGGTGATTTGTCTGGCTCTGGTTCCTCCAGACTCTATGAGCCTCCATTTCTTTATCCGAAAGATGGGAATGCATACAGCCTGCTTCATAGGTCTGAAGACCGAATAAGCTAACATGTACATAGTAAGTGCCTAATAAATGTTACTTGTTGTTATTATTTATCGTTTTCAGCCTCCTGATTATCTTGCCAGGCAGCACAACAAGCCTTTGAGGACTGGCCCTCATCACTCCCGTTCTATATGCTCTGAGGCAGAAGGGGTCCAGGGCACTATCCAGCAAGAGGCACTTCCCTCACCTGTCTTTCTCACTCTCCTGAAGACAGGTGAGGTCTGACCCCTCCAGATGGATCTAAAGTTAATGATGAAAAACAAGGGCTCTGGAGCCAAACACTGACAGGGTCAGATCCAGGTTCCAATGCTGTGTGAACTTGGGCCAGTTTCTTAACCTCTCTGAACCTTGGTTTCTTCATCTGTAAAAGGGGGATAGAATAGTACCTTCCTCATGGAGATTTTATCAGGCTTAAATGAGATAACAAACAGCACCTGACACATGACAAGTGCTCAGGAAGCATGAGGTATAATTGTTATTAAGTCCAGGAGCCTCTGTGACCATCATCAGGGTGTTCCTTTTCATGGCTTCCACCCCAAGATGAGGGGAGGCAACTAGCTTGCCAGGCAGGATTAAGAATGTGATTTATGTCCAAAAATTGCTGCTTAAATCTATCCTGAAATTTCATTTTACACATAAATTAGTGCAAAAACAGAACACTGTAACATGCATACATGGTTGGCTGCCCCACAAATGGTCCTTTTGAAAAGTGGGTTTTGGCCACAGCCTTAAAAGTCAATAGCATCTGACCCAGTGATACCACTCCTGGGAATTCAGCCTAAAGAAATTCAGCCTAAAGAAATTCAGCCTAAAGAAATACTTCAACAGACTTAAAAAGAGAAAGACAAACAACTTTCTGCATGAAATCGATCCTGCAATGAGCACCTAGAAGCAAAGATAATCCGAAACAAGCTACATCTCTAGCGACAGCAGACAGTCAAAGGACTGATGGATGGTGGAGCCTGAGATGGATCCCAGGATACTATGGCCATCATTAAAATGGTAATTACCAGCAACCCAGCAACTCAGGAACGATGCCTACACTTGGATAAAGGACCAAAAGTGGGGCTGCCAAAACGAATAAAATGGTGGAATTAAATATAATCCCCCCAAAATCTTTTGACATTTTTTCAATTAACAACAAAAATAACAACAAAGATAAAAACACAGAAGACAAACAATTTATTCTAAGCCCTCACATGTGACTCCAACTTGAGGCCTGTGGAGAGAGGGTGGGCGAGGGGGACCTTTCCTCCCCTTTGGTAGTCAGCCCAGTGGGGTGGGGAAGGGAGTGATGCAGCGAGGTGGGCAGGGGTGTGCTGAGATGTGCAGGGGTGGGGCTAGGAAGGAGACAGAGGGTGAGCAGGGAAGGCCTCTAGGAGGAGGTGTACTCAGAGCAGACTTAAATGATGAGTATGGATATGTTGGGGGTAATCTAGGCAGAAGAAGAAACTGGGAGATGGGCCAGATACAAAATGGCAGCCTGGGGGCAGGCTGAGTGTGCACCACAGGGGAGCCCCACGGGGTGGGCTTAAGGAAGATTCCCTGGGGCTGCCTGGAGGAGGAGGGATGGAGGGGTGTGCCTGGGCAGGTGGGAGACCAGCAAGGAGGCTGCTGCAAGGAGCCACGGAGAGATGAGGCTGACCGAAAGGGGGAGGGGAGGGGAGGGGAGGAGTCAAGCAGGGCTTCTCAGAGCGCACCTGAGTTCAGGTTGGGACATGATGAAGGTAGGGGGTTGGTGGGACATCCAGAGGGAGGTGCTCAGGAAGCAGCTGGATCTATTGGTCTGAAGCTTGGAGAGAAACCTGGGCTGGAGACGAAGTTGGTTTGGGGCATCACGGTGGAATGGTGTTGGAAAGCCTCAGGGTGCGGCTGAGTTCACCCAGGGAAAGTGAGAGGAAGGCCAGGAGGGGCGCACATGTTACAGGAGGAGGACCCAAGAGGGGACAGAGAAGCAGAGAGGGTGGAGGGGCAGGTGACAGGTACCTAGAAGCCAACCGCATGGAGATTTGTAGGCGGGGATGATCAACGGGGTCAGATGTTGGAGAGGGGTCCGGCAAGATAAGGACTGAAACATTCCCGTTCAATTTATCAACTGTGGTGATGTCACCACGAGCACTTTCAGTGTACTAAAGTGGGAGAGAGACTAGTGGTAAGAAAGTACACCCTGAAAACCTGGGGGCATCCTTCTGAGGCTTTTGGATGTGAAGGCAAGGGAAAAACTAGTCGGTGGCTAAAAGGAGCATGGGGTCCAGCTGAGACCAGTAGTCTGACCCCGAGTCTGTTGGGCTCCAGACCCTGACCCCTGGCAAACACCCCAAAGAGACTGGCTCTGGTGGCTGCCAGGCTCAGAAGGACAGGCAGCCCCTCCACGTCCACTGCACTCAGAATGCAGAAGGAGTGTGTATAGGGAAGCAGGACTCCCCCACCTAGGAGGCTGACCTGGTGCCAAATCCCAGCCACCAGGATACCCCCAACCTCAGCGGGCTAACCGGAAGGGAGCCCACCCTGCCAAATGCACAGGTGCAGGTCCAGGGCAAGCCCAGCCCTGCCAGCCCCAGACGTGGGAGGAACCACGGGTGCCATCTGGGTGTGGGGGCAGGGACTAGGGCAGGCAAGAGGAAGTCTATTGAAGACGAGATCTTTTTTTTTTTTTTTTTTACATTAATACAATCTATTTCTAAAAGGAGGATCTGTTCCCATTTAAAATTTTGGCTATTTAAAAAATTGGTTATATTAGAGCTTAATGTTAAAAATAGCAATCCAAAAAGATGAACTCACTTAATCCTCCTAACACTCCAATGAGGTAGGTGCTAATACTATCCCCATTTTACAGGTGAGGAAACTGAGACTTCCCTTCACTGTTGACTTTCCGTGTTTCCCTGATTATTTTCCTGCTCTCAGCTCTCATCCTAGAAATCCCCAGAGCTGGAGTGGGAAAAGGGATGCTGCCAGCAGGCAGGACTCTGGGCTTTCCTCCTGTCTCTGTCACTCACCTTAGGAGGTTTCTGAGCCCCAGGTTTGGGGTTGGCTGTGATAGCTGCCTGGCTCTGCTCTGACACCCTGCAGGGTGGGTGCTGACACTAACACGGACTTTCTGGAGGGTCACTGGGCCATGGGCATGGCCAACCTTCCATACCAGCAGCATCTCCTGTGCTGCTCGGCCAGGGATGTAACTGAGAAAGCCATGGAGAGGGAGGAGTCCCTGTCTTTCCTTCCTTCCAGCCATTCTCTTCCCTTTGACAGCTGCACTCAGTTTCGAAGGAGGTAATAAAGGGGGCAGCTGGTGCTGTGGCCTCTTTCTCCCCCCTCCTTCCACGGGTCCAGTTTTGTTGCTAACCCCCTTCCCTGCAGTCTGAAGTCGTGGATGGCTGGGGGTGGTCAGTGTCTCCAGATGTCTGTCCTACCTAGTGTGTCCAGCTTCCCCTCCAGGTGGCCCCAAATAAGTTCTCACAGGGAGGTAGGGGTCTGGCAGCTTCAAAGGAGAAATGGCTGGCCCAGGATCACAGGACAGCCAAGAGCGGATTCCCCCTGTTGGACCCCTTGTGTCTGATCCTGAGCCTGGGCCAGGAACATCTGAAAAAGGTGAGTGTAGGGGGAGAGACCCAGGTGGGACCCTATTCTCCACTCAGCCCCCACCCCACAGCTGCCGGCTTCCAGGCATTTTGTCTGGGCTACCACCATCTGAGCTCCTGCTATCAAGCCCGTGGTCCAAGCCCAGGTGGGGGGCTTAGGGGTGGAGGCAGTGAGGGGCACCCACGTTTGGCTTATGAGACACTGTTCCCTGCTCTTCCACAGGAGAGGAGGACCCCGAGTCCCTTGGACAGCGTTCCTATCTTCTGACCATAGGGACTGAGTGTGTGGCTGGTGCTGCTTTGGGGGTGTCTGAAAGAAGGACATAAAACGGACATTTAACGAGCTCCTAGTTCGTGCGTAGCATTTTCACGTACCTACATTTTCATCAATCCACACTACAGGTGGACACCGTTATACCCATTTTACAGACTCGGAAACTGAGGCTTACAGAGGAAAAAGGATCTGGAGCGAGCCTTTCCCGTGTGCCTCCTGTGCCTTCGTCACAGTGTCAGTCTCCGGCCTGTGTGCGCTACCGGACTCCTCCCTTCTCCCCCTGGGAGGCAGGACCAACCATCCCCTTTGCATAGACGGAAACCCGAGGCTCCGAGACTCGCGGGGGCTCCCCAGGGTCCCTCAGCCGGCGATGGCGGCGGGACCCCGGGACGCTCTCGACTCCCTCGAGCGGCCCCTCCCACCCCCCGGCCAGGCCCCGACGGCGCGCGGCGCGGCGCTCACCTCGATGCGGTCGATACGGTCCCGGAGGGCGCGCACGGCGTCCTCTAGCTCGAGGATGAGCGCGGGCGAGTCCCAGGGCCCGTCGGCCATGGCGTCGCGCCGGGGACCGGCGTCCTGGAGGCCGCGCGGCAGGCCGCTCTCGCAGCGGCCCAGCTTGCCGGTGAGCTCGCGGATGGTGTCCTGGTCGGCGCGGATGCGCGCTTCCTGCTGCAGCGCCGTCTGGCGTAGCTGCTCGGCCGTGCTCTGCAGCAGCAGCAGCTCCTCGCGCTCGCTCGGCGCCGCGTCCCCCTGCTCTGCCCGCGACGGGCAGGCAGCCGCCAGAGGCGTGCACAGGAAGCGGCTGAAGAGGGGCACGGGCGGCAGCGGGTGCGCGCTGGCCGCCGGAGCCCCGGGCAGCGCTGGGGGCCCGGCCGAGCCGCCCGCGCCGTGCAGCGCGCTCAGGCTGCGCTGCGGGCCCTGGGACGCGGCGGCGCCCGAGGCGGCCGAGGCGTTGTCGGCGCCACCGGGCAGCGCCCGCGCCGGGCTGGCCGCCAGGGGCACGCTGGCGATGATGCAGATGACGGCACCGAGGAACGCCAGCATGCCCGCGGCCAGCAGCACGGCCAGGAACTTCAGCGTGAGGCGGGCGGCGGGGGCACCCGAGGCCCCCGGCAGGCGCGGCGGCGACGAGGTCGGGGCGCGGGGCCCGGGCGAGTGGGGCCGAGCGGGGCCGGAGCGGGAGCGGGAGGAGCCGGAGCCAAAGCTGCTGCCGCGGCCGCTGCTGCCGCCGCTCTGAGCCCGGGAAGCGCGAGGAGGAGAAGGCGACGGGCGGCGGGGAGGGGAGCTGGCGCGGCGGCCCCGCCCCTCCGGCTCCTCCGGGCCGGCCCAGCCCCTCACCAGTTCCGTGCCGGGCGCCGAGTGGGGGCGCTGCCCGGGATGCGGCGAGAGCCTTATCCGCTGCCGTCACCGCGCAGAGGGCGGCGACCCGGTGGCCGGGCGGCGGGACTCCCGGGCGACCCTCACCCCACCCCACCTGTGCTCTGGCCCCCTCCCGGAACCCATGATGCCGCCTGCTACCTTGCGGGGAGCTTTTCTCCGCGTCGGGCTCTGTGCTGAGGGAGCCAGGAGCTTGCTTACAATTAAGCCTCACCGTGGACACACTCACGGTACAAATGAGGAAACTGAGGCCCACAGGGGTCAGGTCGCTGTCCAAGATCACGCGGCTAGTATGCGCTGGAGCAGCATTTGAGCTCAGGAGCCTCTGACTGGACCCAGACTATGGAGTGGAGCTGGGGTAGGCGTGGGGAGAACAAGGAAAGAGGCCAGTGCTGGGGGCAGGGGACTGGAGATTTTGATCCAACCTCTCGTTATACTATGGCCACCTGCCTGTCATTTCCCACCCCCAACTCCCTGAAGGAGCAGAGGTCACTCCCCTTCAAAAAAAAAGAAAAGGGCTTCCCTGGTGGTGCAGTGGCTGAGAGTCCGCCTGCCGATGCAGGGGACACGGGTTCGTGCCCCGGTCCGGGAAGATCCCACATGCCGC